TTTCAGTCGATCTGCCTGTTCTGTTGCCCACTCTGTCTCTGGTAGATCCTCCCACCCTCCATGCCTCTGGCCTGTACCCCAGTTCTTGTATGCATAAATAAATAAATCTTTAAAAAAAAGTACATAATTACTTTACAAAATGAGTCGTGTATAATAATCACTCCAGAAACATCAATTTCTTTCTCTTCCTTGGTTATCAAGTGGGGAGTTCTAAGAGCTGGTAACATTTCAGGGGAAAAGGAAATGGAGGTGTCATTTTTAAAATTGAAATCTAATTGATATATAACAATATATTAGCTTCAGGCGCACAACACGGTGATTTGGCACTTGTGCACATGATGAAACGGTCACCGCCATGGCTCGTTAATATCCATCTATGATGAGAACTTCTAAGATCTACAGCCTGCAGCTCTCACATGTACGACATGGTGGTAGTAGCTGCAGTCACTGTGCTGGGCCTCTCAACCCGGGACTTAGAACTGGAAGTTTGCACTTGCCATTTTTTTCCTCTTTTAACCTCACTTAGGTTTTCTCCCCTGCTCCCCAAGAGAGTCATATTATTAAGGAAGACCAGATGGTGGAGAAGCACATGTCGCCAGGGAGAAAACAGGCACAGTCTGGCGTCCACACCTGCACCAAGCCGTCCCGCTGCCTAGCAGGGGGCCTGGCACCTTTGTAGGTTCCAGATCAATGTTTCAGCCAGAAAGAGGGGAAGGACTAGAGAAGAGAGGAGGGGGTTCGGAGGACTAGAGAAGAGAGGAGGGGGTTCGGAGGACTAGAGAAGAGAGGAGGGGGTTCGGAGGAGAGGGAAGAAGACTGAAAGTAGTTGGTGTTTTTCTCCTACCATCTAGTTCCAAGAATGGGGGTTCTTGGCAGGCTTGAAAGGGAGAAAAACTTCACAGACCTTAGTATCTCCAGACGCTCCTTTCCCAACAGAATTTAGCACTGAGAGCCTCATGTCTCTTCAGTAATTCTTTTCATGGAACAAGAAGAAATGGAAAGAAGCAGACTAGGAAAACATCAATTTCTAGAACTTGTCGCTGGGCGAGTTGCCCTCAGTGATTAAGCATAGAGAGGGACCGTTTTCCTCCGTGAGTGGGCATGGCCGTCAAGAGCATCAGGAAGTGTGAGGGGGCAGCTCACACGCTGGAGCCACGGACAGGAGCTCAGCCCGTGGTGACCGTGGGCAAGGTGGCTGCAGCTGACCTTCCCTTCTGGAAAATGTCGGCGTTGGGCCAGATCAAGGGTCCTCAGTCTTTTTTTTTTTTTAAAGATTTATCTTTATTTATTTATTTTATTTATTTATACAAGCACTGGGTACAGTCAGAAGCGCGGGAGGGTGAGAGAATTCACCAGAGCCAGAGCGGGGAGCAGAGCAGGCAGAAGGACCGAAGTACACTGCTGAGGGGAGCAGCGGGCGGCAGGAGAGGTCTGCGCGCCCTGTGGGACCCTCCTCTGGTGGCTGGGGAGCAGCCGGGGATTGAACCGGCGCTGCAGAGGCTGCGGGCAGCTTCACAACCCAGCACTTAACCGCTGCGCCACCGGGGAGGCCCGGGTCCTCAGTCTTGACGCTCCATGAGGTGGGGTTTCCAAATGTCTGCATGCCCGATCCGTGGCGCAGACGCGAGAGTCCTTGGAGGTGGGCCCAGGCATTGGCACGTCAAAGCCTTGCACTGACCTCCCAGGGCTCCCTAAACCCCAGTAGTTCCCAGACTAGCGTCGTGGGCTTCACTTGGGGTCTTTGTGGTCATCCCGGTCAGGCCTTGCTCCAGAGCGACACGATCAGAATCGGCACTTAAAGAGGAGCCCCGAGTCGTTGTGTTGACCTTCCAGTTTGAAGCTGACCGCGACCCTCTCCCACCAGGCGCTTTCATCGGACAGTGCTTTACTTCTGGTATTTCAATATCATTTTGGAATCTCAGCACCAGGCACGTCTCAGCATTGTTTGTTTTATGTATGCTATGCGTGTGTATGCAGACAGCACACAAATATCCCATCACACCTGTTCCACGCAGGGGGCTAAGTGAAAATAAAGTGGAAAAAAAATGTGGCCCCGTAAAGGGTGCGGACTATTTTATGGGGTTCTGATCAAAGACTATTTTTCCTTTGTCCAGTGGAGTCCGGCCCCTAAAGAGCGCTTCTCTTCAAAGTTGGCAGCGCCGGCCTGGTTATTAAAAACACCTGGCTCTGCGTGGCCATGTCTACCTCACATCTTCTCACCTGGTGACACGTCCTCCCCAGTCCCTTCTCTGCTGCTCAGGCCTCCTGATGGTGCCTGTGTCCACAGCTCCCCCCTGGAAATAATGGATGGGTTGGCTGAGGTGACTTTGACCCCCTCTGGAAGTTTCTTGTGGCAACGCTGATCACCTCCTTTAAATCTATGCAAGAGAAGTCAGCTCTGAGAAAACAAAAGCAGAAATTGCATCAGAATGCTGCAATTGACACTAGAAAGTGACAGGCTGACATTACGCATGACGCTTTACGGCTCCATCAGAGCTCAAGGCTGAGATGACAGGATGGCCCCCATGTTTTAGGCTAATTATGTCTTATTAGGGACTTTTGGGAATAACGTCTATTCAAAGGAGGGGGTGATTTGCGTCTGAAAGTTTAGAGAGAAGTGGTGTGCACAAAAGTAGAATTTTCAATTCCATTTCTAGACATTCCATGGCAGCCAATATGGTGTCCCTTCCATTTCTGCCCCCAGACCGACCATCCCAGTTGGCTGATGCTTTGGCTGTCAGCCCCACTTGGCCCTCAGAAGACAGAAACCCTGGGCTCAGCACGCTGGTGGCTGCCTTCAGGCGATGACTGAAGGGAGATGGTGTCTAAACACCCCAACTCCCTCGCCGTCTGTATGACAGATACATGTTCTCCACTGGCCCTGGGAGATGAAGCCCCAGTAGCCCCCAAAAGTAACTTGTCACACACCCACTGTTGTTCCCCTTCCCTTCCCATGTCACTGCGACAGGGTTCCTCGGCCCGTGCTGTCTGTGCCTCTGGAGTAAAAACTTCTGTTCGAGTCCCTGCCTCTGGGTCTGCTGGTGGGGAAACCACACCCAGGCAAGTTTTGTATCCCCTCTGCTTTAAGATACCCCTTTCAAGGTATATTTCAATTTTAGTATCTTCAGTAAATAACACTAGCTATGGTGCGAACACTAGGGCTATTAATGCCCTCGAAAAGATCATATTATTACCTTATTTATGAGACTCCTTGGACCTCGGAAGGCACGAAAGAGTAAGAAGATGAGAAAAGGGATTTCTCTAACAGCAAGCAGAGCCCAGGGGAGAAGGGCCTTAGTTTCCAAACCTGATTCACACACTTGTTGGAGGTTTGATGTTGGACAAGTGGCTTAACCCTGGACCCTTCAATCAGGGGGAACTTATGACCCCTACCTAGAGAGTGGTGGGTGTTCAGTACGATGACCCATGGAAAGTGTTTCGGACAACGCCTGTCACTGTTGGCTCTGAACAGCTCAATGGCCTAACTGGTTACTCATCAAGGAGACTGAACTGACTAGGATGCTGTCAGCTGTGAAACTAAGATCCATCTGAACAGGTCTCTCATGGTCTGCATCACGAATCTGCAGGAAGAATCTTCCCCGTCCCCACTTCTCACATTTGTTGGCTGGAATGAAGGCATGTGTCCATGAGGTAGATCTGAATCAAGCTTATGCTCAAGAGAAACCTCCTTCTCCATGTTCTTCACATGATTGCGAGCGCCAGGTCACCGGTGTTCAGATTATCTGTGTAACATATCATCACACCCCACCACAGTAGCTTGGCAGGCACTGCTGACCTCGGCTGAGCTCAGGAGTGCCCCTGGAGGTGGGCAGGTAGACACTAGGCTTGACTGGGTAGCTCCTTTCCCCGCTGGAAGGTTGCTCTGCTCGTCATCCTCCTGGGGTCATGAGTCTAGCTGACAGAAGCTGGAGACCCTGACAGAAGTTCAGGTGTCTTAAGCCCAGGCTTAGAACTGGCAGCTTGGTTAGCTTATGCCCTTGGGCCTTTGATCAAAGCAAGTCACACAGCCAAGCCCAAAGCCAAAGTTGGGGGCATCGACTCTGCCCACCATGAAGCCAAAGGGTGTGAAGGCAGGGAGGGTGTAAAGGAGAGACCGATCATCCTACCATAACAAGTTGCCAGAACAACCTGTGAGTATGCACACATATGTGTGGCTATGCAAATGAATGCTCTGATGTCATATTGGCCATTGGTTTCTGTGCTGTCTCGGGCCACCTGTGGCTTAACAGCTGGGCTGTTCTGAGACATGCCTCCGTGGGTGATTTCCTCCTGGTGTGGATACCGGAGTGTCGTTACACAAACCCAGATGGTAGAGCCCACCATACACCTGGGCTGGACGGTAGAGCCTATGGGGACTACCTTCATGTATGGGTGGCATTGAGCACCACTGGTGCGCATACAGGGTCATCTTGGCCTGGCATAAGCAAGCTGTTGCGAATGAACCCAGTATATCATGGCGACCTTCAAGCCTTGACCTTCCAGCTGTAGCAGCCCAGGGTCTGCAGTTGATCAGAGAAAACCCAGCAGAGTCTGAAAAGCTAAACAGAAGTCCGACAGGAGAGTGTCATTTTCAACCAACATCCTTGCTTCCTGCCTTGACGTCTCAACGAAATTATTAAATCCTCCAGTGCAGGTAACACGGAAACCTGTTCCACGTTCAAAATAGACGCCGCAACGTGGTGACTCTGACTGGTGTGAGGTGAGCTGAGCCTGGGGAAGTTTCTCGGTGAGCAGAGCGTGGAGGATGCGCGGGTCCTGCAGGAGGCGGGTCCCCGCCAGATGTGCACGGCCCGCCCCGCCCTCCCTCGCGCACCCGGCCCCGCCGCACCGTGAAGGAGCTGCCGCGCGTCGCCAGGGCGTCCCCACCTCTCTCGAAGCCGCCTGCGCCCCTGCAGGGCCAGACCTCCCCTCCCGGTCCGCGGGAACCGCTCCCGGCAAGAGCCGAGGTGGCGACCCCGCTGCGCCCCAAGTCCCAGCGCCCTTCCGAGGGGGCGCAGGAGGAGGAGCGGGAGGCAGCGGCGGCGGAGTGAGACCCGGCGCGAAGATGCTCTTTCCCTTGGCCCTTGGGCTCACACTGCTGCTCCCCTGGGTGGCAGGTGGATTAGGGAACGCGGCCAGGTGAGTGGCTGGTTGGCGATCGATCGCTGCCTTTCGGGCCCCTTCTCTTTGCCCCGCGACCCCACCCCCGGGGCCCCTCCAGGCAGTCCCGCGGGGAGGGAGGCGTGTGAGTGCCTGTGTGTCTGTGCGCACGAGACGGGGTTCAACCCGGACGCAGGCCCCACGCGTGCACGGGCATTCCTTCCCGCGCCCCTTTGGCGGGACTTTGCGCCCAGTTCCTTGGCTTTAGCTGCGCCCCACCTGGCTGAGTCCGCGGATCGCCGGAGGAGGGGGCTCTGCGCGGCCGCTGCCGGGTGGGTGCGCTCGGGGCTAGCGTGTGTCTGGGCTTGTGGTCTTCGGGATCCCACTGTGCGGGCTGGCGGGTGTGTGTCTGATGAAGGTGGGTGTCTGTGCACTTTTGGGCTTTCCACTCCATTAAAAGGGCGCCGACCGATTCTCAGTGCTATTTGAGGGGGGCGGGTAGCAGGGGCAGAAACTAAGGACGACAGGGGGGCTTCTTCACCCAGTGCCTTTCTGATTCAGGTGAAGGAGCTGAAAGAAAAGGAGGCACTTGTCAGATGCAACCGACTCAGTCTTGGGCAGTAGCAGTTGCAAGTCTGAACCCCTTTCCTTGGCGCACTCACGCTTTGCTAAGCCCTGCAACTGATTTTCCGGGGATGCGCCCAGCCACTGAGTGAGCCACCCCGAGGCGACCCTTGCTGTGGGCCTGGCGCCGCCCTCCACACTGCAGGACTCTGAGCCTATTCCACGCTCACCACTGCTTTGTGTGGCAGGCACTGGTATGATCAGCCTCTGGTATGTAGGAATAGGAGGCACAGAGAGGTCAAGTAACTTGCCTGAGGAGGCACAGCCAGTGTCATGGAGCTGGCCCTGAAACCCCCGGGGGCTGGCCCAGAGTCTCTGCTCTTGGAGGGTACAGTGGGCAGCCTCTGGGGACTCAGCCACTGGGAAAGGCTTCCTGGTTCTCTAGCGGTGAAGTCCTGCTTTCTGGCATGCATGGGGTGGGGGTGGACAGGATTTCTCACCTGCAGCGTTAGTGACCTTTTGGGCCAGACTAGACTATTACTGGGAGAAAGGTCACTCTGTAGGATTATTTAGTGGCCTCTCTCCACTAGATACCAGTAGCCTCCCTCCCAACACCCCCCCCCCAGGCTGTGACAACCAAAAATGTCTCTGGATGATGCCCAAGGTCCCCTGTGGGAAAAGGGGGTCAGAATCACCTCCAGCTTCGGAGAACCCAGCACTGTTATGATTTTTTTAGGCAACAATTCCTGGGCAAGCAAGCAAAAGAGTCATTGTTTGGTATAGGCTTCTAAAAGGTGAGCCTGACTCTCTTTGTTTGATTTGTAAGAAAAAAAAATCTTTCAATCAGAGTCACAGTATTAAGGGATTTGGGGGTTCAAACAGAACAAACCTCAAACCAAGTTCTTGAACTGTATGATCGCAAGTTTCAATTTCCTTTTCATGATAAAAATGTAAGCAGATGCAACTGGATCATAATCACATTTCCCTTGACTGTTGGAGTTTCTAGGATTGCTAGAAGGCCCATTTGAGTAAGTCCAAGCAGTACTTAGAGATGGGATTAAGAGTTCTTCAGCTGTCAGCAATGCAGCCCCCAGGAGCTTCACTTTCAAAGTACCACCAAATGAAATTAAAAGCCTAAAAGCCTCCCTAGAAACCAAAGTATATGAAAACAGAGAATCCATGCAACAATTCTGCAGTTTCCAAGGTGTGAAAGGTGGCTTCTTGACACGGTATCAGGTTCACGCTGGCGTGTTTATTATGTGTCCAGCATGCTTGCACGTGCCACATGGTCCCTTTTCCCGAGACTGTCCAGGAGCCACGTGAAATCAGCTCTAGACTCCAAGTTACGGATGACACATTGACATAGCCAAGGCTCTCATTGCTGAAACGTCTGTCTATACTGGGTTATTTCCTAAGGTTTCACTACTTAGCTGAAAACTGTTAACTATTACCTAGAGATTTCTAGTATGAGCACCAGTTGTTTTGAAACACTGCACCATAATTTTAGCAACCAAGAAAATGATATGCCTCTTAAAGGGTGCTTAGTGCATGGTGGACAATTCACCCCCATCAAGGCAATAAATCATTAGCAGCCTGCATTTCCCTGATCGTAAGCATCAGACTGGCATGCACCTATACTGTTTTATGTCTTTGGGTGAGGTTCTAGGCGGCCTGGCACAATGCAGTGTATCTGGTACTCACCAGCCCCATGTGCTATTGAGCACTTGAAATGTAGCCAGTTGGTGTTGAGATGTGCCCTAAGTGTGTTATTCACTCTGCTGTTCTTCACAGTCAAGTGTGGAGTAACCCCCTACTTAAATGTATTTCTGTTATGCATTTTTTCTCCATTGAGTTCAAGCAAAAATAATGCGAGCATGCTGAATGGCCGCACTCGTGGAGAGGCCTGCTTTTTGCAAACCAAACCCTCCATTGAGAATTGAGTCTTCTCCACGCTGTTAAGGAAGTGCCATAGTAACAACATACTGGGAACTTAGTGGCTTAAAATCACACAAATTTATTCTCTTCTAGTTCTAGAGGTCAGAAGTTCAAATTGAGTCTTATGGGGCTAAAATTAAGGTATTGGCAGTGCTGGTGCATTTTGGAAGTTGCAGAGAAGAATCCATGCCTTATTTCTTACAGCTTCTAGAGGCTTCCAACAATCCTTGGCTTCTGGGTGCGCCCCTCCAGTTTTTTCTTCCTTCATCACCTTGCCTTTTCTCTGCATGTTAGTTATCTTACTCCTTCCAAGAAAAACCCTGGTGATTATATGAGTCTCACCAAGATAGTTCAGGATAATTTCCCATCCCAAGATCCTAATCTGATCACACCTGCAAAATCTCTTTCACCATATAAGGAAATCAGTCCCAGGTTCCAGGAGTTAGGACATGGATCCTTTGGGGATTATCATGATCCAGCCTCCCGTGGAAACTCTGAGCTGTGAGTCTGTTGTTTTTAGTTTTGTGGGCTATTTTTTCAAACATGATGTAGTGATTGGTGAATAGTTGGCATATCGTTCATTTCTTTATTCTTTAAACATTAATTTGTGGGAATATACTGAAATCTCAAGAGCTGGGTGTGTCTATGAAATAGTTACCATGAGATAGATGTATAATAACAACATAGACGTCATTTCTGAGCAACCTTGTTTCAATAGTTAGTTTCATTGACTTAGAAGGTATTAAAGTCCTATTTATTTATATGCAATTTCTGTGCACAAATCAAGATGTGTAAATATTAAAATAAGAAGTATATTATCTAGCCTTCATAAATCATATTTGTATTCAACAAATATTGTGGAGCCCCTACTATGTGTCAGCACTTTTCAGATGTGATTTCAATCAATTTCCTTCTCAACCCTTAGAAATAGTGGTACATCTGTTTGACCATGGGATGGAGAAACGTGAAGAAATTAGATGATTTCCCAATAACTGTGTTTAATTTCATCTCTTGTTCCAAGAGTTGTGACATTCCAATATTCCAAGTTTATCTCCCCCAAAATTTGAATACATAAAAGCTGAGCTTGACTAAGTGCTTTCTCACACACTATTACCAGTGGTCCTGTTGAACCTCACTCTTGCGCAGCACGAGGGACATGAATAGATTAAGTGGGAAATCCTGATGCGCCACCCTCCCCTCCAACATCTTTCCCTTCCTCTCTAAGCTCACACTGTCTGAGAAGCAGGCTCTGAGACCAGGGTTCGAGACTGTACAGTTTATTTGGGCGGTGACCTCAGGAAGGTCTATAGTGCAGCAGAGAAGGAAAAGCAGTGTTATAAAAGTAAGTTACTACTATAATTTAATCCTGCTGGGAAATTCTAGAAGACAGTAGGATGCAAGCTGTTGCCCATGAAGACAAGGGAGCTGAAGTATTTATTCTCCCATCAGTCATGGGTGGAGGCTCCTGGGGAGGGAGCTTCTGACCTTACAGCCTACCCTGTTCACAGACAGAGCTGGCTCCTGCCAACAGAGAATGCTCCTGGGCATCATGAAGCAAGGCCATCATTGTCACTGACCTTGTGGGACAGGGTAATGCCTCTGAGCAGCTTGTGCTTCTGGTGACAAGTTCGAGGACACAAACACCTCTGGGGTCAATAGGAGAGGGATGGGGCATATAAGTGTCTTAAGGTGTTGTGTGCTGAGTTGTGTGTGTCTCTTTGGCATTCGTGTTTACAGTCCTAATCCCTCGTACTTCAAAACGCTGTACTTAGAGATAGGTTTTTAGAGCTGTAAAGTGAGTTCACTGGCGTAGCTCTAATCCTGTATAACTGGTGTCTTCATAAGAAAAGGCAACTGGGGCCTCCCTGGTGGCGCAAGGGTTAAGATGCAACCTATGAAGCTATCAGCAGCCTCTGCAGCAGGAGTTCGATCCCCAGCTGGGGAGCAACCCACATGGTGCAGCAGACCTCTCCTGACTCGCCCGCTGCTCCCCTCAGCAGTGTACTTCAGTCAGTCTGCCTGTTCTGTTCCCTGCTCTGTCTCTGGTGAATCCTCTCACCTCCCGTGCCTCTGGCCTGTACCCCAGCTCTTGTATGCATAAATAAATAAATCTTTTTTAAAAAATAAAAGAAAAGGCGACTGGGGGAGACAGAGAGACCATGCGAGGAGCCCAGGATGGCAAGCCGAGGTGTTTGTGTTCTGTTCTGGGAGCAATGGGGAGCAGAACCAGACATTGCAGGCTCTGTGTTCATTGTAATGACCGACTCCTGCTTAGAGTGATCACGCAATTATAAAGAATTGTTCAGGTAATGGAGCCATGGTTTAGTTTAACTGGTAGCACGTTTTTCTTTGCTGATGTAAATAATAGTGTGCTTAGAAGCTGTGGCATCTCAGATTCTAAGACGATGAATGCAAAATTGAAAATCAAAATACCAAAGTAGCAAATACGTTTATAAAGATCACTACCCCGCTCTTCAAGTTTCCCTTTGCTTGTATAGTTATCTATTGCTATTTAACAAACTACTCCAGGATTTTGTAGC